TATAGATATAGATATAGATATATATATATATCAATCACGCATACATATGTATCTTCATATACACGTGTGCAAGTATGTGAGTGCCTATGTACGTGTACATGGTGAACTGAACTTACCCTGTCGACTGCAATACTGTCGGGATGGTGCCCTTTGGAGAAGCGCACGTAGGACTCGTTCCACGTAGGAACCTTACCAGTCTTGGGCTCAACCGCAAACATCCACTTGGGTGCACGCGTCACGCCCTCGGGAAGTGCAATAGCTACAGATGGGAAATGACGGTACATAAGGAAATGTTAGTACTATGATAGCATATGCAACTAGCGGTAATAGCTTGTGGATGTCCGTTTCAGCTGACACGATTGGAATTGTAATCGCGCTACCATAGTTAACCTGAGAAAGCAGTATACTCGTTTGCGAAAGCTTTATAGTCGCCAGGAATGTACGCGACAATCCAGTGCAAGGAATACTCAATTATGAACGCAATTCGCCGTTGAAGTGCGCACGTTTCTCAGGTAGGACAAGGGCTTTAAACATATAAAAAATGACAGCACCTATACACAGTTTATTTTATTTTAACGACAGCCCTATACTACACAGTCAGTTTCTTATTTGTTTAGCTTCGGCTACGGCTACGGCTGGACAACACGTATAGTTCCAGTAACTCAATCACATGGTTAATTGTGCAAAATTTGCAAGACCAAAATTCAGTTCATGATTTTTTAGTACTCACGACTCAGATACGAGATATTAATTCCTGTACATTCTTCCCTGAGGGGCCGTGTGCTTTGGGGAGGTATTTGTCGCCCCAAGTTTTCCACGCAGCTACCATTTAGTCGCAAGCTACGCACGCACACACCCCCAAATTACAGAACTGCGCATAGGTCTACTTACGGCCTATGGTTCCTTTGCCTGCGATCGTGGTTGGACGGCGTGTATCACGCCATGTTTCATTTCAGCTACATTTGGTCCGTATTTACGCTTTCAAACCCACTGATATAGTTAAATAAGAATACAACAACGCGTTCACGCACCTAACACACATTAACTCGTACACGCACGCATATTGCTTCCTAAAACTCTATATTAGCTTTCGCAGCGACGAAGCTGTATGTAGCGCCCCGTTCTTTAATTCGGCTGCTAACAGGTGAAACACAGTCACACAAAGTACATATAAAAGTATACACAATCACCAACCTACTTACTTCTGGACGTTCCATTAGATTCGGCTGTGGCTGGACGGTGTTTATCGCCCCACAATTTTAATTCGGCAGCTAGTTGGTCCACATTTGTGTTACGGAGACCTATGCCACGCAGCCCCTCTGCGCTCAGGGGGGAGGTGGCGGCAGCATACGCGACCTGTGCGTTTGTATTGGAGGATGGTATAGCTGCATGTATATACTACATGAACATCTAGTGTAAAGTTATACAAACTTTTTAAGTTTACAATTTTGATAAGCGCAAATACATGCATATATAGAATAAGCAGTGCAGACTTGCAAATAACAATCTTTGATTGTTGGGAAGTAGTACGCGACCTGTAGCGTTTGTATTGGAGGATGGTATAGCT